CACAGCCGACTTGAATATCGCGCTTTTATATCGAGTGGCTTTCAATAGCTACGCCGGTCATGATGGACATCGAAGTTTTCATCAAGAGCCCTCTAGTAGAGGGATCGAGTGGAGATCATCCCATATCACTTATGTATCACCGACGGAGAAGCGGAGCGGTCGCACTGACCGCGAGCTCGAATCAATGGGGAATCGTGTTGTGTTTCATCACACCCGAAGGTACACAGAAGGAAGTCAATTCTTCGCGAGGCTTAAGATTCCCGCCGCTCCATTGTCTCACCTCGTGACGGATCTCAAACAATGTCGATCTCGTTTACGTTCAGATCAAGCAAGAATGAGATCCATCAAAGTCACTGAATCGCTCGTTTTCTTTTTCATTTGAGGAGTTTAGCAGTTTCAGGAAGAGGAATTTGATTCACGCATCGGCGATATGCAATCTGATTTTTTGGTTTTGCTGTGGTCCGATCAGCGATGAGGAATTTGTGTGAGAGACGCTTGATGGATACAAGACATGAAGATGAACGACTAGGAGTTTTTATCCGTTCGATTCGCTTTGAGCGGATTTTTCACCTCATCACTGAGTGAATTGTCAGTTGTGCTCACACTTCCACGAAGTCACCTTGCATCCGCCCGACCGAAGATGATCTCGTCAAGCCTTCGCGGCATCGCTTCGTAGAAGCTACGCATCTCATCCGTTAGCGCGACTGACGGTGGTCTCGAAGTTTAAGTCACAGGTCATTGTATTGAAACATTGCTGCGGCTTTATGAAGTTTTGAGATCAGTCATGTCGTTGGAAATTTGTCGTTTCCCCGAAAACGTCTCAGGTTCGCAGGGAGGTATTCGGAGAAATTGATTCAAGGAACGAAATTGTTTCCAGTGAACTCGATACGGGAGGAGGATGGAAAATCCGAAAGCTTCTTGCAACTTGATACAGGAGGTGAGCGCTTCAGAAATTTTGATTGGATCGGGTGGCCTCAGCTCCTCGTTGCCGCAAAACACGACTCTGAAGCGGGTCTCGATGCCACCGACACGATCCCCGTGACTGGGGACACGTGCGATATTCCCCACCGATCTCAAGTGGGAGCCAATTTGCAGGGATCAAAGTCTGATATGACTGCTCGTGCATTGAGTAGTATCCGACCTGCTCCAAGTTTGACTGTCTGACTGGCGCTTCCTGGGAGCTCGGTGATCCGTTCGGAGTGGAATACTAGCTCGAAACTGACTGCTCATAGCCATCGCACTCATCGATAAATCGATGGAGACGACGAGGGGACCTGATTGCGCGATGCAATGAATTGAAAATGGAATATTTAAGACGCGGAGAGAAAATCACGAGCGGTATATATGTACGAAGACGAACTCGTACTCGTATAAATAGGCATGAGCGGCTCCACCGTGACTGTTCGCTCGCCGTGGTCCGAGTTCATGCTCTCACGCATTGCCATGATGTGGATTTTTTGGTTCAACTTGTCTCCCACGCAGCTACTCTGCTCATCTCGACTCTAGTCTCTAAGCCTTTCCGCGAACAAGTTTGCTAAGGGTTCTGAACGGCTTGTCGATTTGAAAAAAAAAACGCTTGGCGTACTCGTGGGCTGCCTTCTCTCACATGATAGAGTAGACAATCTTCTTTCTACGAAACATGGTACCTACAGGTGTGGGATGATCTAAAAGCGTGTCTATCTCATTGAGAGAATTCAATGAGTGCCGCTTTCCGTGGCCCAGGGCTGTCATCCTGCGTATGCGGGTCACGGTAGGTCGCTTCGCTCTTCCTGGTGCTGGTGTATCCGGCGGGATGAGCCCGCGAGGACCTCCCCATCTTGTGGGCACCGTTGGCTGTGCTTGATTCGTCCCGCACGTCCGTGACGGAGCGCAAACGACCACGCGCCAATCCGGATTCGGTGAGCAAATCTCGATACGCGCAAAGCTAGGAGTACATGTGAAACTCGGTGGGAAATTACTTGCAGCAGCAGGTTTAAGCTTGAGGCAAGGTGACTTTGGCACAATGGGCTTGACGCTCTGCCTTAGACCAGCGTGATCTTCTAACATGTCCCTTCCGGTATGAACGGCTGATCGGGCGTGCGAACACGAACCCCTAATTGCGAACACGGAGCGTGGGTGTGCCGTCCCCGGTGAGGCTTGGCAATCTCCATAGCCGTGGACCTCAAGGAGATCCTGAGGGAAGGACAGCGCCGTATCGTGGTCCAAGCCGCGCGCCAATTGGAGAATGACGCTGAAGCGAATAAATTTTCCGTTTCTACCCACTGATGTGGACCTATTAACCTCATTGACGATCAGTATTACCACGTTGAAAATTTAAATAAGAGCCCCGAAGCAAAAAAGAACACGAGGATCTCCAGGATCTACGTAGGAGGAAATCATCAGGTCGTAATGACAGGGGCACGTCGTCGAGTTTCCCAGCTCAACCCGAGCAAGAGGAGAATGTCAAGAATGCGTTCCTCGAACGTCGCCTACCACAGTCTGGAGCCAAAGACCTCCAGATAAGCCACTACTTGTCAGTTACTCGGTGGCGGCGAGACATCCTCTCATCTCGGATGATTCTCTGGAACTCTCTCAGAGGCCATACGTACAAATAAGGAGGCACAACAAAACCTGTCGATGAATCGAATGACGGGTCAAAGACGACGTAAACCAGGGCAGCGAAAGGGCTTTCACCCCACCACCCACACGGAAGCTTCAAGATTCAGACTTGAAGCTCGAGGAGAAGAAATTGTTTTGTGCTCTGGACTAGGCAAAGAAATTCTCTAAATTATTTCATCGAGTCGCTGTCGTTGCCGCTGGGAATTTCGAAAGGGATCGAGGAGCAAGTCCGGCTTTTCGAAGAAATCCAATTTCACCTTCGATACAAGTTCAGCCGACTCGGCCGGTGATTTCATGAGCATCAAGACACGCGCCGCAAACCCTAAGAAAACTCGGGAGATTCGATGTCCGATTGAGAGATCATGTTTAGAATACACATCATCCACAGGAAGCCAATAAGAAGCAACAGAGCGAGTCTCGATCGCGACAAGGGAGTCGCTCCGTGGCGAGACTCGGATTAACACATCGGAACTTCCGTGACCCGTGCATACATGCCTCTCAAGTTGAATAGAATCAATCCACGCCATCCGCTATCGGAAGATCCATCTGAATGCGATTATTGCGGAATCCGCCGCGCCGTGTTGTGTACATTCTGGACACGGCCTGATCAAACGGACAAGGCGATACGAGTAGCATTTGTCATTCTTCGGCACCGGGTCTCGTTCCGGGGACGAGCGGCTGAGAACAACAATGGACAAATCGGAGTCGACCGATAGCGCATAGGAAGAGCATCCGAATGACTGCAGTCCTGATCGAGGGGCAATGTCACGTCCCCCTTCCTCCGCGAAAAGCTTCTGATGGTCGGGTTCGAGCCTTATTGGGGAGTCCCGTCCTCAGTCGTTCAACCATTGCTTCCCAGAACTTGGAAAGGCCCTCGCGAGAAAAAAAATGCGCTGCGAAAATCGTACGGCCTCGCCTCGGTTATCCACGATGTCAGTAAGATGCATATCGCGGATGCCGATCATGCCAAATGTCCAGCCCCGGAGTCCGATACTTCAGGGCACCTTCAGTCAGAAGTTCCTCCTGGGGACGGCGCGACGTTACGGCTGCCTTGTGACTTCGGAATGTGGATTGCGCATCCCTCGGATTCCCCCGAGGCCAGTGAGGCTGCATCCTGCGTCTCCATCATTCAACGAGGCTTCGCGATCCGGCACTCGGATGAAACGCGGGATTCCGCAATTTAGGGAGCGCCGATCTCATGGGAACACTGATGTTCAAAAATTTTATGTCATGGCCCGATCGTTAAAAGCCGAATAGGTGACGGGGCGAGTGGGTACCCATCCGTAAGAATGTGGACGGGTGAGTGTTTTCCAGCTGAGGAGCTCCGCTCGAACATCACAAACGAGTGTAGTGTAGCCTCCACTAAGCCAATTTGCGCGGGATTTCACTTCGACGAGATTGTGCCAAATTCGATGCTAATGAGCTCTATCCACAGAAACGATTCTCGCCAAGCCCCCTGGTTTTTCGGCACTCTCGTGATCATTAATTTTCTATTCACTCCATGTTGGTTTAATTCCCTCCTGACTTGTTGCCCTCCCCGCATTGGCGAGTTGTCGACGTCGATCTACGAAACCGGGAGACAAGCCTCCGATAGGGGAAATTTCAGAGGCTTCGGATTCTCCCGCAACAGGATCCCAGCTCGAGCGCCTCCGACATCGGGGTCGTTGTCATGGCGACTCTAATTTGGACATTATTGCGAGAATGTTGTCGTTGTCGTCTGTACCTTCCCTCCTCTTACCATCAGCGTCGTCTGCAGTCAGAGTGAGGGATGGTAGCGCCGCAAGGAGTCCACAAGCAGAGCCGTCGACTAAATTTGTCAAATTGGCTCTGTCTCGACCTCTGCGATCAAGTCTGGCTCCGCTGCGGTTCCTGGCACAGTATTTGGAGCTCATTTTCTGGAGAGAAATTCTAGGCATGGCGGAACCCGATGTCTCCCCCATTGACAGCCTTGATGACGGTGGGAAGGAAAATAAAGCTGGAATAGCTTCGACTCGGTGCCGGAGCGTGCATGTCGCGCTTTCGGCACGGCATGGCAAGAGATCTCCCGAGCTCACTGCGCTGTTCATGCTTTCCGACCTGGGATTCCTGAGATATCGGTCCGAGATCGGTGAATTGCAGTACCTATTTCCGGAGGGGCTCCCAGTTCAGGCGGGAGTGAAGCTCGGGATCGCGACGCCTGGCTAATCGATTCCCTTTGTTAGTTCCATCATAGTGTTCATGTCTTGCGTGAGAGGGATCTGTAAGTCGGCGTTTGAGGGTGCAATAATGTTTCAAAAGAGAGCGCCATTGCTTCATTTGTTGGAGCGGTCGTCGAGCTCGTCGTCCGGGAAACGCCGGTGTTGTTGTCGTCGAATGCATTGCGGATCTGATCTCTGAGTGAGCCGGAGCCCTCCTCCTGAGCCATGGAACCCATGGACCGGATCGAAAAAGCAGCACTAGTGCTCTACCTCAATCTTGGAGGAGAAATGATCTACGTTCTTCAACAGAGACTCAGTGCGCAAAAAGTTGCTCAGGATAAAAGTGGAAGGGTGTTGCAGGAGGTCATCGCGTGTCTCTTGTGTCCCAAACAGATGGGTAAATTTGAGTAGAGCTCAGATCTTGATGATCGCGTGGTCGAAATTCTGGATTCTTTCGTGGGAACCCGCCGGGAAAAAGTTGCATCAGGGAATCTGCCAGGCGCAAAGCCAGTACCTGCAGAAGGGATATACTCTCTTTTATTCGGTTCTTCGGGGTCTTGCCTAAGGAGAAGGAGTAGAGCCGAGCAAATATAGGAGAACTCGGGGCGCAGATTCCCAATGGGGCCCGAGAGCGATGCGTGAGTTTTGTGCAATTTTTCTTGGTCAAAGCAGTCTGATTGCTGCGGCGCCAATTATTATTGGTTCTTCCTCCGGGTCGTCTGGAGATTCTCAGGACTAGGACTAGGCTTGCACGAGGGGAATAGCTCGAAACATACGTCAATACAGTAAACGCTCGTTATAACGACCCCCATTACAACGAATTTCTCGGTACAACGAACAAGGAATTTCTCCTGCTTTGGCCAGCTCGCCATAGGGATAGTGTTGAGCGGCATTCGTTACAGCGAAAACTCGGTACAACGAACCAGTTTCGTCGGTCCCTTCGTGTTCGTAGTGACGAGCTTTTACTTAATCTGCGAAAAGTTTGAGGCGCGCTGAATGACCGCTCTCGGATCCTGACTGAGTACACTCAGTAGAATTATTACTGTTATTATGAGAGGAGGAGTATTGATGAGTACCGGAGGAGTCATCCGCTTCAATGGGGTCGCTCCGAAGTCAAGAACTTGGACCGGTATCGGAGTTCTCTCAGCAACAGGAGCTCAGAGTTCGGATCCAGCTGACGATTCGAACCTTCAACAAGTCGTTCTGCGGAGCGAACCGGGAGATATATCTCTTGTGTAGCGTACTATGGACATGACTTCCCGAAGCCGTCAATATCGCTCATCAAACTCTGGAGACTTCCGTATATGATGATGGTTTCGTTTCAGCGGAGCTCACGAAACTGGAATGTCTCTCCTTGACCTACGCCAAATTCATCAAATGCGTGTTCGAAAGGATCGTTCAATCTTCCATCATGAGGCTGAATCGGGAATCGATGGACAAGCTCTACGATCTGATGACAATGGTCTTCAAATATCAGGTCCTCATGGTGCCTTCACCGCGACAGATAGTCGCAATAACTCTCAACCATCTTGACACGATCGAAGGATATGTCAAGGAAAATCTGGAGGCAAGACAGCCGATGGATCATTCCGCGACCGATTTCTCAAATATAAATGTGCTGGTGCTGATGAAAGACTCAAGGGAAATCCTCATCCACAGCTTTGCGAGCGGATAGCGTTCGTCAAGGACACTCTGGTGGAGATATTTTTTTCGACGTCTCTGGCGGAATTCCAGACGATTCGATATCAGCTCCTGACTTTTCTGCAGGACTTGCATGTTCGCATCTCGATGTTCCTGAAAACGGGCGTACAAAAACAGACGGGTGAGTGTAGCGACCGGAAGCGCAGCGATTCGAAGTCCTCCCCACTGCGCTTTCGGGCTCGAATCAGCTACAGTCAGGTCGATCAGGGGGTGTGATGTGCACTAGTGGTGAGTTGGCGCTAGTTCCTCGGTCTTAAATGTCAGCGAGCGTGAGCCACAGCCAGTGGACCACCAGAAGCGGCAAAACGCGTGGATACCGCCTCGGAAATCTTTCGCATGAATTATTGAACGTAATTATTCATCTGATCAGCGAGCCCACTACGTGAAGGCTGAAACAACGAGGAGGTCCCGCCGGGGCAGGACTTGTCTGTGCATACGTCATAAGTATTTCTCGTGATCATGTTCCTCCCTGATGAACAGTACGTAATTTCTAGGGGGTTTGATATATTGGTCATTCCAGGTGTTTTTTCGATGCCTTTATTTGGCTACGTAACCGAAGGTTTTGAAGTGAACGGGACTATTCGTGAGTTTGGAACGGACGAAACGCTTCTCAAAGAATCCACCTACGTAACCGCGTCGCATTTCAGCGCTTACAAAGTTCCCTACGGCAGCCGAAGGGGCACTGTTCTTGGGACGAATATGTACACAACCGCTTACCAGGTCAGTGGGAGATACTTCGAGAGATATTTTCTCATACCGAATGAAGGTGAGGGCCACGATTTCAATGTCCTCGAACCTCTTCCTCTATTCCAGTCGAAATCGTCCTCGCCGGATGTTTCGGCGGCGACGAGTAAGAGCAAGAAAGGCAATCCAGCCAACGAGCTCTCGCTTTTGATGCAACTTGTGAACCCCACGGTATCCAAGTCCAAAGGTCAAGATTGCGTAGCTTTGAATTTATTGGGCGACTTGACGTCTCCTTCTGATTTGCGCGGAGAGGTTCTGAACTCGTCGGGCCAGGAGGAAGGTCTCAAGGTGAGAGAGTCGCCGCATCGCGAACTCCAATTTTCGCGTAGAATCAATCGATCAGAGACATTTAATTACTACGGGAGCACGACGGCGAAGTATCCTCCCTTCCAGATCATCGACCTGACCCTCGAAAGACGACGGAATTCCGCTCACGAAGTCCACGAAGAAATTGAGTGCAAAGCCTTCACGCCTGAGGATACGCTGCTAGATATGATCGATGCCACTGACGCCAGTTGAGCTCGCCCGTGGGGACTATTTTTGAACATCATAGTTTCGAGCAAAGGTCGTCACCTTGGCCAGGAGTCGGCAGCCTAGAGGTCGATCCCCATGGCCATTGCAGGGAGCCACGAAAAACGCGATTAAGCAACATTTGTCGTTGGAACGGAAGGGGTACGACCTCAAGCTCGTTTGAACCCGTTGGGTTCTCCATTGTTGCCTTCTTCGATTGGGGGTAGGATTCCTTCTGGGATGAATATGTTCTGAGTTCACGCGCGCAACGGAGCGACGGTGGGAAAGATACAGTAGTTCAGCCTACAGCTGATTACGATGACGAGGCTCCGTTCACGACAAGAGAGTACCGGGCATGACCGGGAACCAAAAAAGGGCCCGTCAACTTCTCCCGGGATCGACCTAGAAGTTCTGTTCTTCTCGAGTTTGCAGAAGGACATCAGCTCCCTTTGTATGCCCGTTCGACGGGACGGGTAGATAGGAAGGAGATCATCGAAACAATAAAGCCGAATCGAGACAAGTCTCGTTGTTTTTGAGAGCAGCTCCAGAGAGGGCATGGAACGGGTCCGACATGGGAGGGAAGATATCCTGGAGCGAACTATATCGCTTGCGCGAGTCAATGTTCTATCGCTCGGTTCCCTCCTCTCAGGAGGCTCAGGCTGTGCTTATTCTGGTGACATGAGGTCGATTCAATGGGACCGGACAAATGGAAAAGACAACTCATGGCGAAAAAATAGCTCGCCCCCGGTGGGACTTGAACCCACAGTCTTTGGCTCCGGAGGCCAACGCCTTATCCATTAGGCCACGGGAGCATCACTTTATTGGGTGCTCTAGTTGCTTTTAAATAATGCGGAGCGAGCTCTGTGATGTATGACATGTCGTCCCGATCGGGTCGAGACTTGAGACGACGAGATTCCGCGTACGTAGGCGATGTGGATGTTTGTTATGCACATTCTCAAGAAACGTTCATGTCGAGAAGTTCGACAGCTTAATTCGAATCGACCGCGCTTCAAATTGCCGCAGGTCGTCTGCTCGGTGTAATAGCGACGTGAAGACGAAAAAGTTCTAGAGTGCTGAACAGCCCTTAGCCGCCGGAAAAATCTCAGTCAGTGATAGTTCGAAGGAACAAAAAGCTGAAGATGTTCGGTTTAAAGTTTGCTCAGCGATCCGCTCAATGTGAGTTCGTTGAACTTGGGTCTGGATGATGATTTCCGAATATCTCGATCGGCTACGAAGACCCGAGAATTGCATGACTTCCCTCCGTACAGCAAGGACGCGTGGAGGAAGTCTGTTTACTTAGAGATTCTTCCCTGGGAACCTTCCCTTGGAATTTCCGTAGAGCTCTGGTACGGCAATTGATTCGGTTCCCAGTTTGAGAATTCTCAATCGTGTTTCTGTTGTTCGATGATTGGAACGCGTTCAGCGGATGTCAATACGAGAAGCTAGAGTTTCCTATCGCCGACACTTTCGATAGTCCAAAGGTCATACGAATGGGAAGCAACGTTTCTCACTCGGGGAGCTCCAAGGTGTCTCGTTGACATTGAGGCTTGAAGCTTAACCGCCTTTGGTCCCTGGCGGTCTTCCAACCTGTTCGCTCTGGTGAACTCGTCGATCACAGAGAAGCGGTGGGTTGTTAGATCGCGCTCTCGCGACCGCGTTCAACAGATTTGTAGATTGCCGTGAGGAAACGATGGTCAATCAATGCAAAGCAGTACATTCTGGGCGTAATTTATCCCGTCCTCTCTTCCAACTGTTCTGAACTCTCTTCCTGCATCGAAGGGGGAACGCCGGCTCATTTCCACTGTCTTCTCGGGGCCGCGTTCGAATGGGAGGAAAATATTTCCGCATGATGGGACCGTCGGCGATCATCTGTCATGGAAGTCCTTCTGGACCGTGCGACGCTGTAAAATGACAGATCATCAGCGAAATATGACGCAGAAACGTCGAAGGTGGTAGGATCGATTCCGGCATGCCCTGCTTCCCTGAGCGCATGTGACAAGCCATGTCAGATCGTAAACGGAGTTTCAGGCGATGAATCCTCGTAGACTTCTTGTCCGCATTCTTGCGAGATTTTCGCCCTGTGATCTGATGGACCTCTACGGAATGCTATAATACTACGGAAGTCCTCGAGATGCATGTATCAGGATATAGTCTTTGGTGCTTATCAGCAAAGCCCTTAACGATCCCATGCGCAGAAGAGGCTGGGAGTGTCTATTGCCGTCAACTATTCAGACCGGCCTGGGGCGAAAAATTCTCAGTGGAGGAGTTCTTAAAACTCAATTCACTCCCCAACGGATCCGAGCGCAGATACCATCAGGCTGCGTCGAGCGAATGTCAGGGAGCCGTCAGCGATTCATAGTCACTTGGGCCTAATTTTATTCCTCTTCGATCCCACAGTCACGGGTCTGCGACAGTATACCACTACGCGCGAGGCGCTGAAGATTGGAAAGCACACGAAGCTCATCTGCCAGGGGTTCACCGGGAAACAGGGAACTTTCCACTCAAAACAATCCATCGAGTATGGAACGAATTTCGTCGGTGGTGTGTCGCCCGGAAAAGGCGGACAAACCCACCTTGGCAAACCAGTCTTCAATTCCGTGAAAGAGGCTGTTGAGAAAACTGGCGCCACTGCATCTGTTATCTTCGTCCCACCTCCCGTTGCCGCGAAAGCCATCGAGGAAGCGATGGATGCTGAAATCTCCCTCGCTGTCTGCATCACCGAGGGCATCCCTCAGCACGATATGGTCAAAGTGAAGAATCGTCTTCTCTCCCAAAATAAAACCCGGCTCGTCGGTCCGAATTGTCCCGGAATCATCAAGGTAATCGAGCGTTCTGTTTTCGTGTCGTGCAATGTGAACCGCGATATGACTTGGGGATCGCCTCTCGTACTCTCCATGAAGCCTGCCGAGAATCACCGTCCGATTTATTCCGTTCTTGCAGCCCGAAGAGTGCAAAATCGGAATCATGCCAGGTCACATTCACCAGAAAGGGAAAATCGGAATCGTTTCTCGATCCGGCACCCTCACGTATGAAGCTGTCCATCAGACCACTCACGTTGGTTTGGGCCAATCGCTTTGCGTCGGAATCGGAGGAGATCCTTTCAACGGCACGAACTTCATCGACTGTCTCGACATCTTCCTTCGTGACCCAGAGACGAAAGGTGACTCGACTTCAGAATCTGATCCCAGCTCTTGCCATCTCCGATAATTAATGGACTCGATGCATGGACTTCGGAGGAATGTTAATGAATTCGATTTTCAGGGATCATTCTCATCGGAGAAATTGGAGGGAGTGACGAAGAGAACGCGGCTGCCTTCCTTAAGGAGAACAACAAAGGAGCGAACGCCAAGCCTGTCGTGTCGTTCATCGCCGGATTAACGGCGCCGCCCGGACGAAGAATGGGTCACGCCGGTGCTATCATCGCCGGTGGCAAAGGAGGAGCTCAAGAGAAAATCGAAGCTCTCAAAGAGGCTGGAGTGCACGTCACCAAGAGTCCGGCTCAGATGGGAGCCACAATGATCCAGGTTAGTAGAACTCGTCGAGAGACCGAGAGATTCTCGGGGTGGCGGGCGAGGCCATTCGGCTAGTATCCCCATCCCATATATGAATTCCCCCATGAAGATCAACAGAGCTTATATTCCATTATCATAATCAGATCGGAGCGATATCGCGCGCCACGGACTAACGCTGGGTCACAACATTACAGGAAATGACGAAACGCGGACTTGCGTAAATCTCTAACGACCTCCGCCTTGTCAGTCCTGTGCAATCGATCCATTGAGTCCTCGATTTTTCTGTTTTCCGAAAGCACTGCTCTGGTATGTCAGTTGGGAAGTGCGGATTAGCGACATCAATAACGAAGTCTCATGTCTCGACAATGCCATGACAGTCACAGTCTCTCGGCGGGGTACGTGGGTCCGGAGAAGTTTTACGAAAAAAAGTTTGAGCCATGAGAAGAAAATATGTGAACGAGTTTCTGATCGGCGTCTCTAGGCTTGCGTTCAAGCCCGGTGAATTATTCCATGTTCCCCATGACTCATGCTTGTGTCTTCCTCCCTGCTCCCACCCGATTGAATAATTCCTGTCAAAACTGACTCTATCCTCTACGATCCAGCTGACAGCATGGTGAGATTTTCGAAATGTTGATAACAGCAGCCAAAACGACTCCGAGAGCACAAATGAAACAAAGAGGGAGTTTCCGGATGGACCGAGCTACGGAGTGTTGGGCGAAAAACAGAAGTGAGAGCGTGAATGCGGAGAAACAAATGAATAAATGTTTTTTAAAATACCTGGAATAAGCACGCCTCGTATTTCATGGGTTCAAGACAGCGAGAAGCGTCAAAGGTTCTGATTCATTGAGAGACTACCGACGCGATTCCTGGTGTTATATAGGTATTCTCCCGAGAAATTATACTTTTCTCTCTCCTCGGCACACTACTCCGCTCCCTTTCGGAATTTCTCCGAACTGGCTCGTTTCTGTCCAAGTCTCGCGGACAAGACTCGGAAAGAGCACACAGTGAGTCGTTGTGGATCCGTGGAACTGTGTACAGTTTATTCTTAAATAAAATACATTTATGGTAATAGGCTAAAGGTATATATTATTACCAGATGAACCGTTTGCGAGCATAATTTACCAAAGCTAGGTACCGGATCTCATAGGTCCTCAAGGTTGTCGCGCATCATCGAAGCCGAATGGGATTCCCGACTTTGATTGGGACAGAGCTCTGTATCAATTAGGAAATTCGCGCTACTCCAAGCCTGCTCTCCGAGGGACATATCAATGAAGCAATCAATCCATCGAGATGTCCAGCCTGAGAGAGAATGAGCTCTCTGACACAATTTCTATACTGAGGAATATTCTAAAAACCGAAATGGCACGTCGATACAGCTTACCACGCATTCACAGAACGAAACGCTGAACTTCGTGTTTCAATTGGTTAGTCACATAAATACAACGGAAAATGAGTTGATATAAAGATCATGCGCCTATTGAGCCCAAAGAAAATCGACAAAAGGGAGGGTACAATATTTCCTAGGGACCCAGGTAGACAAAAGACTTTCGTGTCCAGAGGAATAGCCCTCGGCGTCCAAAACTAGCGGTATGTACATTCAAGGAGAGAATACAGGAGTCGACCCATAATCATGGAAGAAATGGTAAGCAATAGAGCGCGCTCGATTAGTCGGTCAGTATCTCGGTCTTTCGGACGACGAGCCGATCCGCTAGATTAACCAATCTTTGTGCTCATCCGCACAGGACCACGACACCGGGGACCCCGAGTTCAATCGGCATCAGACAGGAATCGAAGCACAGACATGCTACAAACGCTCTGGAATACCAACGCTGGAGCATCTGATACACAGGAATCGAGATTCGTTCATTACAACAGTCGTAAACGAAAGCTTGAGGTCGACCGATGACTGAATTCTCTCACAGGCGAATATTCTCAGGGCTTGGCCCGATGCCTGGATATCGCTCCCGACACGTTTGGAAAGTGGATCCGGGCTGGCGGCCCCGCTCGCTCGGCCGAGGAGTCTGCCGATCGAAAGAATTTCACCGTGACGCGATTCGAGGGCATCGGAAACCTACGAGGATAACTCGAAGCACGTGTGTAAGGATTCCCAAGGGAACGACTGAGCTCGCCAAGGAATACGAGCAGACCGGGTGCCGACTTCCAAGGAAAAAAGCTCTGGAGCCATCCATATTCGATACTGGCCATCCTTGGTTTCGTGGACGTATGGCTTTCATCAGAAACTTTCCGAATCCGATTCCTGTCAGTCAGCATTCCAGTGTCCCTCGGAGAATACGTCTGTTGACATCGTTTCGAACTCTGACTCTTCTGCATAGGCAGCTCCGTCTTCTCAGTAGCTCGACTAACGCAGGTTTTCTGAAGGAAGGAACCGGGTCGCTTCGGGTTTACGTGACGTTGTCGACCGCATAAGTAGTCGGGCTTGAACATTGATCGGGGTCGAAGACTGATAAATGTGGGGGTAGACCGCAGCCAGCGCACAGAAATCAAATCATATGAACACGTTGGACGTTGAAGCTGCACTGTCTGCCACTAGTCGACAGCCAGCTCGTCAGTAGGTCAATATTCTATCTTAATGTAGTTCTTTCTGGTAAATGTCCGCTAAGGTTATCCCACTATTAGCTTTGCCGATCCAATTGATCTCTCTGTTCCGTTTCCCTGTTCTAATCAAGGGGCTATGAGCGGGACAGCGGCACCCCTATGGCTTTCCAAGCTGAAGAATAGCAACGCCCAAGCCATGCCAGGGACCGATTCTCCGACGCGTCGCTCACTGTGGATTTCACTTGGATTCGTGTCAAGCGAGAGAGCATTCTTCATTTACGATCGAGTCCGGTGTCGCCACCGCCGCTGAAGCCGAAACCTGCAAAAAGGCGTGAGATCAGCTTATTGTTAGGATGGGCTCGAGTACTTGAGAATCGTGAGGTGTTCCCAGGGAGCTCAACCGAGATCCTCGGAGTCGAAGGTAGAGATCGTGTTTTTTCCCGAGCGAGAATAATCAAAAGCAGCTAACGAGTGATGGCTCGAGGCTCGATACTCACTCTCCGAGTCTTGAACTCCGCTGCTTGCCGTCGCAGCCTGCATGTCGGTGACTTGCGCCGTCGCGACCATATTGTCCGAGGACGTATTCTCTGAGAGGTTCTCCCTCGGTTCCGGAACCACTTGGAATACCTCTTGGCTCGCGTGGGATTCCTCGCAATTGCTCTCCTTGAGGAGTTGTTCGCCGGACAGTTCCATTGGGGACGTAGGGATACACCGGCTCTCTAGAAGACGGGAAAAAGGATCCTTTTACTTTGGGAGCTGCATAACCATGGGTCAGGAATGTGCCCGTTCCCGACCGGAATCCAAGTCTTCCGAGGGCAACGATTCGGGTTCCTCCAGATTCTAATTACTCACGAGGTCTCAGTGTGAGGAGAGCTTCGGCAGCTTGAGTGGCTGTTGTATCGGCGTCATCCTTGAAGTCCGAGGGTTTCGTGTTGTCCAGAGAGGGATCTTTAACGTCCATCACGCTGAGTTGGACTGAGTTGCCGCCGTGCAAGCCGACTTTCAGTGATGCATCTCCAGATGCCGCATTCTGCATCTGCTGAGACATGACGAGCTGCTGATGTTGCTGCTGTTGCTCCTGATCATTGGCAGGTGCGGTCGCGGGATTCTCGACGGACGCCATTAATTGCTGCTGCTGCTGTTGGTGATGCTCTTCTTGTTGCTTCGACGGTTCCTGTTGCTGCTGCTGCTGCTGTTCGGGCAAGATCGCACCTTCCATCGCTGAGTTCATCTCGATATGCGAGTTGGCGAAATCGGCATGTTCGACTTGTTCCGTGAAAGTGGAATTCTCATAGACGACTTGGCAGCTCTCGCCATTTTGACTCTGGACGATCAGCTGGCCATCCTGCAGGATCAGCTGGGCCCCGTCGAACTGATTGAATGCCTCCGGCGGCACGATAATGCAATTCTGCTCGCCAATATTGAGGACGTCTGACGTGTTGACGACTTGCAGCGTCTGATAATCATCTTGAGAATGGTATTCGGCTTGACCTAACTGATGATGGGATGACTGTGGCATGTTTTGTACAAGTTGACTAGAATCCTCGACGAACGACGTCGACGGCTGGTTGAGGCCGATTATCGAGGAGCTTGGGTTGGAGTTGAAAAAACTGTCGATAACCTCTTGCCGCACCTGTGGCTTATCCGAGAGAGTATGGGTCTGTAGGAATCGTTGGCCCTGATCGAGGGACGCCGATACTTGTACGAGGCCCATCGGAGGGTTGGGAGGGAACACTTGTTTACGACTCCGCGCGGGTTTCTTCATGAGATTCGCGGGACCGCTAGGACAGGGGAAAGGTCGCGGATTCGGAACTACAACTTGGTGCGAGGGTATCGGCTGCTCCTGCGCCTCGTTAATGGCCACCACATAGACGGGTTGCTGCTGATTCTGTTTTCGCTTCTTCTTCTTCTTCATGGGCTGCCCACTCTGGCCTAGACTCGACTGAACGATAGCATCCATGAACTGAGGATCTCTGAAAATCGATTGCGCTGCGTTCGGTTCGGCCGGGTTGGACCGCATGATGACCTGCACGAAGCGGACGTCTGGTCCTTGAGGCTGTGGAGTGAGATGGACAAGGAAAAAAATATTAACCATGGAAAGGAAGAGCCTGGAGCGGGACTCGAACTCGAATTCGTCAGAGGAGGAAACCGTGACTTATTCAAATCAGACAGGTTCTGGGTCTCTCACCGGTCTTGGTCTTTTTCGGACCGGTGGCACCGTTTTGAGATCAGGCTCCGGCATTTTCTTGATCATGTTGGAAATGTACTGCGGGTCGTCTTCGGCACTGTCGATTGGTTCGCTCTTGATCTTCAGAGGTCCGGAAAGGAGCGTATCGTCCATCATTGAGTTTTCGTCGAGATCGTCGAAACTGAACGGTTTCGGTTTGAGATTTATGTCGAGATTCATCATGACCGCCGGCAGCTGCAACGGGTCCTCCTGCTCCCCTTTAGGTAGGTTGCGGAGAGGGAAACGCACTACCCCTTCGAGCTCTTCACAATCGATGAGTTCTTCTTGGTTCCGAGAGTAGGCGACATTCCTCCGGCGAGATTCGATTACCACATCGGGGGGAGGCGTAGGGGGTATGGCAAGAATTTCAGGCGGGTCTCGGAACCTGCACGCAAAGCTTCGCATGAGTAAAAAGACTTCCATCGAGTGTCGCCTACCGCTTTCATCGCATTATCATCCCTTCATGAGTCCCTATTCGGTAACTCGCATACTTACTTTTTGACTTTTGACACGGATTCCGACTTGACTACAACTTGCTCATCTGTTTTGGACATGGACATTAGTCTCTCCGAGCGATGCTCCTCCGCCATGTGGATCTCCAGGGCGAGACTCTGAGACAGAAACTGCTCTCCACAGAACTCGCAACGGACGATCCCCGACTCGTTTAGACCGGTGCAGAACTGGTAATGGTTCTGTATGCCTTGCAGTGTTGAGAACACCATCGTACAGCCCGGTACAGGGCACAGGATCTGAGAATGAACAAGCATCCGTTCATTTGCGGGCCACACGGATTCGAGCCCTGACTCTCGAATGATGCAGGTACCTCTCGATAACAGTAATTCCAAGCTAATCCGTCGAACACCGAATCTCTCACCTGTTTGGTGAGGAGCATCTCGTCGAGCCAGAGTTTCTTCAAGGCCGTCCGAATATTCCGTGGTTTTATCCGCCGCTGAGGGGTGCGCTCCCTCGCCTGCGGCATCGGAACATGGATTTCCGAGGTGCCTTCGGCTTCGGGAATGACGCCGAATTGGGCATCCACATTATCAGCCAGACTGTTCGCGGGATTTATGAGGAGAGGATGTATCGACGACATTCTCGTTGAGTTCTAGACGGGCGCTTAGAGAGCTGCAATGTCAAGAGAGGCAAATTATTAGCGTCAGCGTTCAAAAGAGTCGTCAACTCGGAGCTCACGGTAGGTGCGAACTGGGGGCTAATCTCCAGGATCAGCCGGAACTCCATCCCAAAGGAGGATCCGGCTGAATCAGACATCCTCATCACGGCTGATCACTCCGGTCATTCTACGTGTGTATTAAGCTTTGTTCCCGCCCCAGGGCTATCCACCATGTCCATGGATAACGCATTCTCAGCCGACCATTCCCGTTTTCACGAAGTATGAGATCCTTTTCCAAATGGGAGGGATCTCCCTCTGCGGAATCACCGAAAGCCGCTGTCAATGTTTTTTTTTTCGATCTTGACCAAAACGTGGGTCCCTCTCTCGGACAAACAGCCGAACACAGAGGAAAGCATTCCCTTTCGGACCCCAGTTGGATCTCCGACCGCTGACTTCTAAGAACGGCAACTCGGACAGCTGTTCTATGGACGTGATTCTTAGTGACGGTTCATCTGGAGAGCGGAGGCATAAACACGAAACGAGGACTGCATGCTTCGCGAGTCCGCTCCAACAGGCCACCCGCCTCCGTTTCCCGAAGCTCGACGGCATAACTCGACGACAGACTGAATCGAGATTCAACTCTCCTCAGCATCCAGTTCCGAATCCTTTCTCGAGCGAGCCAGGGTTAAAACCAGGAGGGAGTTGTTGCCGTCGCCCTAAGTGGCCTAATGATGCTTTTTACCTGGAATGCGCCCAGGTGAGCCGGTCCGGTTTGCCATTAGCTGCCTTCGGCCCTATCCTAGCTCTGACGAGGGCCTCACTGCATGGAATTAGTGAAATTCGAATGTGAACACAAAGCTTGAATCTTCCCGTTGCTGCTTAGTTTACCTAGCAACCGCCAGATGGCGGCCTCAATGGGCGAAGTGTTGTTACGAGAAGCTTTCGGTCGGATCGCGCATAGAAGCTTCACTGAGATGACGCCCGACCGGCATTGGGTCGAGCTACTACCTCTGACAGTTGGACATCATCGTTCGTTCATGAATCTGCTTCGGAGGCGGAGGACTGAGAGGACTAGACTCCCATCATGAACAGACCGTGATCGGAAGTCCCATCCGAAGCGCGAATCCAGAAACCTGAATGCGCGGAGGATCGCTTGTTACTCCGTACTGTTCGAAGGCTCCCTTTGTCGAGGGAGCGGGCCGGCTGTGGCTCAACTCCATGGTGGAACATCATCTAGCTCGAGCTGGCAAGGTTGCCACAGCCGGCGAATCCGACAATGATGAATCCGAGACCCCTTTTCGATTGTTTGCACGCATCGACTTGCATGCGGAACTCGTCGAGTCAAATGGCACCTTCCTCAGTCGTGTTCTCCTCACGACTCGAGCTCTTTGGTGGCATCCGTTCTCTTGATTCGGGAAATTTTTACCATGCAACGAACGTGTAAATTCCGATACGTCAGCGGTATGTCTCACGAGAATCCGAACGCCGTTTCTGTCTTGTGGAAGCTCAAGACAGTTTTCCCATCGACAGATTGGCGCAATAGATATGGCTGCAATATGCATTCCAACTCCAACGCTGTACCGGACATGTGCTCGCTCAGCGACGACCGTTCTCATCTTATCTTTTGTCAAGCAGACTCCCGAATAATGTGGAGCCCTCATTCTAGGGGCCTTTCTCGAGTCAAGACCCAACGCCGCGCGCGAAATGATAGTCGAGAATGAGCTGATCAGTCTCGCTTGAAAGGAACGCTCACTCGCGACTCTTCTGAACCGACTCGGATCATTCCTTGCCACATTTAGGGGTCTAAAGTCTGGCGTCAATTATTTCATCTAAATTGAGGAATCCATATTTATCTCCGTGGTCGATTTTATTCATTCATCATTCAGTTTCGTTGCAATGACTTGGCGGAGGCACTAGTTGTCGTATGCATTCGATGCATCTCAACCCTTCCTGACCAACCTGTGCGGTTCTGGGGCTCTTCGCTAACTTGCTGATTCCATCGTCGAGCGCTAACTGAAGCCAGGGGTCAGAAAGCCGCTCTTCAGTCAGGCTCACCATGATCCGTTTCAGAGGCTCATTCTCTGAATCTTCTGTGAAGAAAATTCAGAGAGTTAATATCCCGGAAGGAAAATCGTGTACTCATAACTCTCTGGGTGGGGTGAATATTTAGCGGAAACGAAATAAGATCCAAATCTTCTCGAGCGTGAGAATTCCGGGAGGCTGGATCGTCCTTACCGAGCAAACAATCGCTGTTGGTCTTCCACCAATCATCAAGACATGTCACTGCAGATTTCACGTGTTGTTCTTGATCGGCGTGGACTGTACCCATAGAGAGAAGGATGCAGACGGTAGCGAAAATGCGGAACGCCATCACTGGAAGTAGCCCGGTGGGTGGAAGAGCGGTGTATCAGGAGCCGAAGAGGGAAAACTGCTCCCTGATATATCTCCGAGTCGTCTTAAATAAGCAGTAGGGAAGGTTAACGAGAGAGTACCCCAGACTTTCCACTTGGGAAACATGCCGTCTAATCCTTCCGCGGTAATGGTTCGTGGGAACGGGTCCATTACCTCCTTCCTGACGAGGCAGTCGTCGAACATGGAGTGGTGAGCGACTCGTGGTTCGCGTTGCGGAATGACATTGATGAAACTTTTTGTTTCCAGGTGTTCTTCTGCCTGAGACATCCGAACGGGAGATTTTCGTTTGGCCCAGATCCGCACAACAGAGCTTGTGGGAACATTTTATCATCCTCTCCGCTTTCCACAGCGCTTCTGGCGCACGCTTTGACGTCAAAAAGTGACCATTGCGAATCCCAGGATTCCCGATAAGCCGCACGGGTGAAGCAGCGACTCCGAGTCGCTAGATCGTGATACCCACTTATCTATGAATGCTTTGTCAGGATTCGAAGCCCGTTCCCAGGAGTGAAGCGATCGGAAATCCCATCAGACGTATAAACTGAATTCTGTAACTCGAGTCGGGGAGCACATCTCTCGCTAACAGATGAAGCCCAGATGATGCCCATAGGCGGGGAGCTCGCAAGAGTATCGCGCTGATGATTCGAACGGTTTCATGAGTCCGGAGGTCAATCTCAAGTTTCTCTTAATCCTCTAAATAGGGATATTTCCGGTCACAAATAGAACGGAAACGTTTTGAGACCGGACTTCGATGGTGGTGATCCCCGATTGATGACCGCAAAGTTCAAAGTCACGGGCATCGATCGCTGAATCCAATTGCTCAAGAGAATTTTTTCCTGTATTCTATGTCGATAGACTGTTCCTCCGTCGAGCGCGGGTCGAGACAGATTCTCGCCGAAAATATTGGCTCGTGAGCGTATGAATCAGTCCCATGCTGTTAAGGAGCCGTAATTGGTTATGGTCAGGGGCGAAACGCTCGCAATCGGTCCGTCAACCAGACGATTCCGTAGAACAGGAACCGGTCGAGATTGTCCCGTCGCTGACGCGCGCATCGCTGCGGGATTACTTTTTCCCATGAAACAGTCAAGCGTATCTGGCATACCCGTTGGACGGCAATCCACGGTGTAGGATAAAAGGGAAAGAGCGCAAATTATTCCTTCTGGGATACTATCGTTCTGCTCCGGGTGTGGTATTGTCCATGTAAAGATCTACTACATTTTTCAGTGATGCTAGCGGAAGTTTAGCTTATCGTGATGACTTTCCAGTGGAAGTCCCTCCAGTCTATCTACGAACGGGTCTCCAGAGTTTGTCACTCTGGTTTTCGTATGGCAGGCGATTCGAGACCTATGCTGCTCTCACAAGGGAGAAGTTGACCATAATTTGAGTTCTTCTTCGATATTCTTTTAGGCTTCTAGCTTTGTACGCTCGTTCTGCGCTGGTCTGTCTGAAGAAACCCAGTACAGGCCTCCGGATTCTGTTGTTCGAAGTGCCCCGGCATGAGACTCAGGACCGCACATAGCCATTTCCGAAATCTAGGCCCCCCTAATCCGCTCGCCCTCCCCCTCCCGCGAAGAAGTTTGTACGGTCCTGCAGTGTTGCACCGTACCAGCTCGCTCCAGGATCGCTCTCGGAGTTTCGCCGACGGCGGCGAAACTGTCAGGCGGAGAATTATGAGATCTCCCACGTGGATCTCAGGAAGATCAGACCGAGCTTTCCTTCATACATACTATCTCGAATCTCCCATGATGATGGGCATACGAAAGCAAGCGATCATTCGCAATCAGCTGATGAGCCTGCCGCATCCTCAACCATCACTTCGGATGAGACGATGAATTACGACTTAACCAGAATGTCGCAGCTCATGAATGAGATCGGCTCACCTCATGGTCGAGAATTCTGTCAGCTTCTCCATGTAATTCAGTCCGTTTCATTCATTCATGACAACTCGCAGTTCCTTCCGGGGTTGTTGGGTGCTTGATCACTCCTCCCTGAATGGCATACGAGACGAGAGCAGTCTGCATGCTCGGAAACTTCCTGGTTTTCTTTCTATGGATGTGGATATTTTTTTAATTTGCACCGCAGAGGTGATCGAATCCGCCGGAGACGAAGATGATTACCTACCTCGATTTGCAAGCAATGAGAGTCCCAGTTGACATCAAAGAAGGCGTCCTGCCTCAGACGTCGGTTAGGTCATTGACAGCACAGAGCTCCTGCCCATCGCGTTCCGATTCCGGATAGCGATAAGACAATGTGAGATTCCACGAGTTGATTTACGCGGCCTCCCTCGGACGCTTCAAACGGGGGTGACTCCTCGCTCAAGCCCTTCTAACTTCTACTGAGCCTGCACCCGAAATCATAGGACTTCATACATCGTCAGCGATGATCCGTCCGCTATCAACCGTAGCCGACGCGGCCCGCGGGGGGCTCGAAGATCCGCTCTACCAATTATGGCAATATTCTGAAGCGATATCTCGAGTCTCCCTGATGTCTACGTTTCACTCCCTGTGTTCTCCTATACGGAACGTGACACGATTGTTTTCAACCGACGCGTTATCCACCGCCGTCTTTCCTCCCTGAGAAAAGTGTCCCCGTTCACCTGAGATGAATGAAGTTGACGTCCCGACGATTGAGACGATCCGTCATTGAAGAGTTTTTTCCTCTTGAACAAGACGAAAATTGAGCGCTCCGAAAGAACCGAAAGCACCAAAGTTTGATTCGGACGATGGGGAGATGAAGTCGACACCGAACGGCGGTCGGCAGCCGCAGAGGCGAAGAGGAAAAAACGAAAGTCAAAAAATGTTTGGTTAGCGGTCTGCTTGAAGGCGTCGAAGATAGCTGTCACATGCATGAAGTGACGTCGGCTTTTTAAGATAGGTCTCACGAGCGCCACCAATGAGGCACAAGGCTTGGTAAGCTTCGGTGGGAAAAACCACATCCTAGGAAGCAGAAGAAGAGGTCTTCTTCCTCCCTCCCTTCGTATGTTTACCAAAGCGGCAAGCGTATCCAGAAAATCGCCCCGAGGGTATTGAACGATCCGCGTTGTTCAGGTTTCCTCCCGAGCCACGGGGTGAATCATCCGGGTAGACTTCGTAACGAATTCGGTGCTCTGCTCGACTCTGGTGACGTAATTATCATAGAAGACACACATTCGGAAATCTGCTGGATACGAATGAATCTTCGGGTTAGGCCTCGTTGTCGAACTCATAAGCGACAATTGACCCGGTCGACCTCAAAGGAGTTCTCGTGGAGCGCGCGCTTAATCGGTGAATCGACAGAAACAGCATTTTGTTGCCGGTGTGGTTTTCTCTTCTCTCTTATCGGCTCATGTCGGTTTATCTAATCTTCTCGATGCGATAATTCGTATTCGGCTCTGGGTGGGCCACTCCGGCCGAAAACTGTTTGGGCTGTTTTCTGCCTCAGCTCTTCTGTGGAGACCGGATCCCCGCATTTCACTAATTTCCTCGACAACGGCGGCAGCGAGAGGTATGTACTATGGTGGGAACTCAGAAAGCCGCGTATCTGTGAAGATACGGGAGTTCGACTGGTTCTGCTTACGGAGTCGGCTCTTTGCAAATCCGGATCCAATGAGGGGAACGAGGCTAGGGCCTCCAGCCATGGTCGAGCTCTCTCGATGCTGACGAAGATCCAGCGATGACGATTTCCGATCCGCAAATCCACGAATGATCGACATCAATGAATTTCATGATCGAAGAGCAGCGTCCCGATGGGTCCTGCCGTTCGGTATATTTTAGGCTTCCATTCGGCATGCGGAGCGGCTCTGCTCAGAATTCGGATAGTTTCCAGCTGAACACCCCAGAAAACGTCGAACGCCCGGCTCAACCCGTCGCCGTGCCACCGTGGTCGTAGATGACACCATACTCCTACAGGTTATCACCGCCACCGACACGCTGCAGCGGCTGTGAAGAATTCGATGCATTTGAATTACTTAGCGACGGCGGCGCGGCAGCAGCAACAGAAGCGATTAGATACGATCGGTACGCGAAGTACTTCACCAATCGGTGCGACCAGAGCGGTACTATGGATTGAGCGAAGAACCGATTAATGTTGTGCTTAAATGCCTCGGAGCAAAGCTGAGATACCAGGAACGATTCCCGATCCTATGCGCGATGAGGATCTGAATTCGATCGGGCATTTCATCAGAATGGTATCACGTATCGGGATTTGTGGTGGTCGTGTCCCTATTCAGACTTCTCGGCCAACGGAATACGAGCCCGGGACTCGGGTCAGGCAGTCTCTCATACATGCCGCCTTCGATAAAACTCTCGCGAACGGACCACCAAGAGAATGTTTGTCCTCCGAGACGGGGGGACACATTCGCTTAAGCAGAAGAAATGGGGGATTATATAACCATGTCCCAATAAAAAAACTTTATCTCCTCCTCTTCGTCTCGTCTTCCTCGTTAATCGTCTTCTCGCTCGTCATCTTTCCTTTGATAGGGAATCAATTACTTTGGAAGGCGACTGAAGAACATCGGCGGCCAAGATAAAAGCGAACAGCCCGCATTAATTGAATTTCACGTAAACAACATTTGATTGCCGCCTGGGAAGGCAGGAACGTCGATTTTACGCCGTCTGATTCGGACAGCTCGAGAAGCCTACCTGCATATCTCCTTTACACGAACTTTGACACGGCTCCGAGCGCCCGCTGTTGTTCGAACGATGTCCAGCTTATAGGAGACGGGCCGGCTCGGGTACAGATTGAGCGGTGGAACGAGTCAGAGCTCGATTTGCGATGAGCGATGAAGACTCGACTCAATGCACAGATTATAGTCGGAAAGACAGACTTATCGAGCGACTTATTGTTCCGACCCTGAGTGACACCCACAAGAGTTCTCCCCGACACGAGTCCATCTATGTTTTCATTGAGCACAGCCCCGAAGCCGATGCTGAATGACTGAAGAATTTCGGTGAGTTAGTGAATGAATGGAAACCCGATTCCGGCGCCATTTCCCATGATCTCTCCCGTGAGAGAGGGATGAGTCGAGCATTTCCTCGATATGGG